GAGGAACAAGCTGAAAAGGTTTCAGCTGTTATCTCTGAGCTCTGTCAGATTTGTGTATCAAAAAGGGCTGGAGAGCACTTTCACACCAGGACGATTGTTAGTACTGTTTGTAATGCAGCAGTGACTTGAAGCACTGCTCATCTCTAGAACGTGTGACACAGACACCAAGCACTCAGACAGTCTCCTCTGGAACAGTTCCCCAGGGCAGGGGAACAGAGAGAAAACACATCAGGACAAAGGAGGAGGAGAGCAATGAGCAAACACCACCACTGTGATTCACTGTCAGTGTAATGGGGCAGGGAACACACCGAGCTCTCCTGTTTAATCTGTACTTTTATATTCTGAAATCCCAATTCAGAGTAAAGGACAAAGGTGTCAGAGTTGCATAAGAGCTTCCATCTTGGCCGTGAGCCAGCATTTCCCCAGGGAGGAACCCACTCCCACATACCCAACTTGGCCATCAAGCCTTGAAGTATTGAAGGGGCTCAGAAGGCAGGAACCAAACACGTTGGGCCAAGTCAGCAGTTGTGTCTTTGTGTGCTCAGAGAAGATACTTGGAGAATCTTCACAAATTGTGAACAGAATGAACAGAAAGTCATTGGTGGCAAGAAGGACCCTTCTATTTCCACGATGCACATGGATCCACAAGTGATCCACAAGTGGGATTGTTAGATATTACCACAATACCAAGGTCTAAAGCCATGATCTAACTGTCTAGGCCATCCAGTCCCTGTTGATTCCTGATGCTAAAGAAGTTACCACATTAAGAGAAAGCAGGACTAGGAATATTCTTCACTGAGTAACCTTAATTTAAAGGCTTTAGTTAAGAATAACTTTTTAATAATACTCTTTAGAAACTACGTGTTGGTACCTTTGATAATATGGGGGAGAGACATCTATCCATTCCATCATTTTCAAACTGAAAATGTGTTTTATTAGAATGAAAACCCTTCCCACCATTCAGTCCTGTCTTAGAGAGGTTCTGACTATGACAAGGGAGAAGCACCAGACACCCAGTGAATTCCAGCAGGGATGTGGCAGTCGACCAGACTGTCATCAAAGACACTCAAATACAGTGGGGAGCAGCAGCAGGATCATTCCCTAGATGGATTTAGTGCAGCTGCAGACTTTTTTTTTTTTAATCCACTAAAATATAAAGGGCCAGATATATTCAAACATCACTTATGGAGTCCCTGGTTCTTTTAAAGAACCAAACTAATGCTTGCGGGATGTTTGGAAACTTCTCAGCTCTGGAAGCTGGGTGTTTTCACTCCCTCTTCTTCACCCCTTAGAAAGAAAGGACAGCAGTAGCTGCTGTAGCTCATTTTAAGAGAGGTGCCATGTTCTCTTCCAAATGACTTTTTAATGCAAGTAAATCACTGGATCGTGCAACAGATTGTTTATGGGTGGAATTCATAAACGGAATTCCTGAAGCAGAGGGGACTACCAAAAAGACAGGAAGGATGGGCTTGTGGTTAAGACAGAAAACTTGGGACATCTGGGGTCTATTCCCAGATCTCCCACAGACTTCCTGTTGCCTTGGGCAAGTTGCTCAGTCTCTCTGTGCCTCAGTTTCTGTCTCTGCAATCCCCAGACGGTGAGCAACGGGAGTGGCAGCTCCTGCACTGAGATCCATGACGGGACAGGAACCACCCCTCACTCCTGCAGGAACAACACAGCAGAACCTGCCCGTCCTTACATCCCCCAGGCTCCTCAGAACTGAGGCAGGAGCAGGGGGAGTGGTGGGAGCTGTCATGTGGGATTAAGGTGGCGGTGCCTTCTGAGGTCTCTGCCTCCCCATGACGGACTGTGAGCGCTGCACATCCTAAAATCACATTAATCTTTCCCCCAGTAACTGTTTGTCTTGCTCCAGTTCCAAAGCCCTCTAGCTGGAGAAAGGAGAGGGGGAGAATATCTCCGAGGAAGGGCCCTAACACCACAGTGTTTTTCTCACTCTCTCCCTCTTCTCCTCCCCCTCTCCATTGGCTTCAAGGCCAACAGCTCCTGGAACACAAACACTCTTGTAAACTTCTGAACCACACAGCCCTATGGTGGGTGGGTGTTTGCTCCCTGCCTGCCAGTTCCAATCCACCCACAGATTCCAAAGGCCCCGAACAAAAAGCAGACTCCATTTTCCATATTTAACAGGCAATTCTCTTCCCTCCCCAGCGCCTTCCCTCGCAGAACTCGGTGCCTCTCCCCAGCTCCGAGTCCCACCTTCCCCACCTTCCCCAGGCTGAGGGCGTTATTTGTGTGTGTGTTTACACAGACGTAGGGAAAGCATATTCCAAGTGGGTTCCCCCCAGCCCTCCCTGGTTTTCAGAGCCTGCCTGCTCAGGAGGAGCTGGGGATTATCGAGGGCTGTGCTGCAGATTGCAGCTCTCTGACAGAACGTTTGGGAAGGGCCTATTGTGCAGGTTGTGAGGAGGGAAGGGGGAGCGTGGGTGCGAATGCCACACGTCAGAATTCCTGCTGCAGCTCCCATCAGACTGTACATTCCTTGGAGCAGCCACTATCCAGCTTCTCCATGGCTGTGGCACACACACTCGGTCCTGACTGTGACTTTCTGGGACTGAACTAAACCATTCTGCATGACCAGGATATTTCCTTCCCTCTTCTCCTTTAGAGATTATCATTTATCAAGGTCATCGTTTTCATTGATCAGTTCATTGACAGTGAAACTGGGGAATGCCAAACTATCCTGACTCTGTGGAATAAGGTTTCAAACTCTCTGTTGAAAAGGATCATCTGAGAGTCAGGTGATCTTTTTCAATCAAACATTTCACGCAGATTTCACTTACAGAAAATTATTTCACGAACGAAACCAACTTATCTTTTTTGGCCATAACAAATTTCGAAACGTTTCTTTTTAAAAAGACCATTCTTTTTTTGGTATGTATTTCTCTGAGATAGGTACTAAAATATGTGAATTTAAAACATCTGAAAAGTCACAAGAAAAAAAAAATGTTATGAATCGGTCATACTTAAGATGAACTAAACAAAAATTTTCACTGTCTGAGGTCAGAAATGGACTAATGTCAACAAAAATATTATTTTCTTTTTTATTTTTTTAAAC